TTTGACAAAAGATGGCTAAGCATTGAAGGTTGTGCAGAAGTGGTTGAAACGACTTGGCTCACTGAGGTCCAAGGCACTCCTTTTTTCAAACTGAAAGAAAAAGTCAAGATTACAAGATTAGCTCTCCTCAAGTGAAGCTCTGGGTTCCAAACTCAAAGACAGAAAACAATTGCAACTCTGAATGCAAAGTTGGAATCTCTTAATGAGGACAAATCAACCATTGATTGGGAGGAATGGGAGACTACTAGAAGAAATCTGAATATGGCTCACAAGCACGAAGAGCTCTACTGGCAGCAAAAGGCAAAATCAAAATGGCTGAAAGATGGGGATGCAAACACGAGGTTTTTTCATGCTTTAACACTCCAAAAGAGAAGATAATGCCATCACTAGATTAATATCTCCTCAGGGACTCATCTTTACTTCCCAAAGAGACACTGAGAAGCATATTGAAGAATTCTACCACAATCTTTTCACATCTGAAGGTTGCTGGGGTGGAGATTCCATCCTGCCATTGATTCCTTCCACAATTACAGAAGATATGAACCATGCTTTGCTGAAGCCAGTTGAAGAAGAAGAGGTCAAAAACTCTCTGTTCAGTTTCAATCCTGATAAATCCCCAGGAGAGGATGGAATGACTGCTGCTTTCTACCAACATTTTTGGAGCCTCATCAAGCAAGATCTTATGGCAGCTGTCCTTAGTTTTTTTTTTTCAGACAGGTATGATGCTTAAATATTGGAACCACTCTGTGATATCCTTGATACCTAAGTCTCTTAATCCTGAAAACATGGGACATTTCAGAACCATCAGTCTATGGAGTGTTGTATACAAATTAATTTCAAAAATTTTAGCCCTCAGACTCAAAGTTTGTTTGACACACTGAATTAGTGACTACCAAGCAGCTTTTGTTGAGGGCAGACAGTTGGTTGATAATGTAATTAATGCCCAGGAAGCTTTCCATTTCTTAAACAGACATTCTTTTGGCCCAAATTTCTTTATGGATTTGAAGTTGGATCTCATCAAAGCTTTTGATCGAGTAGAATGGGTCTGTCTGAAAAACATTATGCTGCAAATGGGCTTTCACATTGATTTTTTTAAATTAATTATGTTCTGTGTCACTACTGCCACCTTTTCTTTCAAAATTAATGGCTCACTCAGTGAATATGTGACACCCTCAAGGGGAATAAGGCAAGGGGATCCTCTTTCCCCTTACCTTTTTATTATTGTTGCTGAGCTGCTATATGCTTTATGTTAGTGTTATATACTGAAATCTTGGCTTTGGATGATATTACACTTTTACCCTTTATGAATGAGAAACATGTTAGATTAAACAAGTTCTAGTTCTGTTGTTTTGCATTAGATAGTGTGGGTCAACATCGGGCGAACCAAAGATCATGCTATCAGTTACTCGCGAAACAAGAATAAGTGGTTCATAACCCAGATGGACATGAACACCCCATCGTGAACGGTTGTAGTGTCAACTGTATAGTTTGTCTTGACTGATTGGTTACACTAGTACATTTATGTATTGAACAAGATCCCAAAGAGGAGTAGTTCGTTTTATACTGATCGTCGTAAACGAACTAGGCCTCGGTTAATTACTGCATACTCTTAACCCGTAAGATATTAAACAGACATATGTGTGTAGTATTTATTACTTTGATTCACATGGGTGAGGCTTAGTGAACTGGGCCAATAGACCCACTGTCTTGGGTAATATTGCTACATGTAGGATGTGCTGTTAGGATATTTACGGTCACCATGTGCGTTAATTTGATGATATCCCCGGAGTGAGTTCATGAAGGATTATTATGCTAAACCTTGCAGGTGGATTAAATTTCGGCATAGTAATAATGTGATGAACGAGCGCTAGCTTCGGTGAAATAATAATAAATTAATTAATTCTTGATTGTCAGTAATCGAATTAATTAATGGACATTATATCATAAACATGGGGAGATAAATCGAGTAATTATTATTGGAGTCTCAATTGTAAATTGGGCTAGGAAAAGGGAGTTCAATAATATTATGTTGGTGGCCTATTTAATATTATTTAATTAAATAAAATAAGTGGCTTGGTCCATAAGTATTTTAATTAATTAAGGAGCCTTAATCCTAATTGCCTAAGCCCTACTGTAGCTCTATATATACATCATTAAGCTCATTGGAAGAGGAGAGAACTCCACATCTGGTGAAATACGCCCCACGCCTCTCTTCTCTCTTTCAGTTCCCATTCGAGCTTTATCTTCTTCTTGTTGTTCCACTGGTACAAGATTAAGAGGTGTTTGAGATATACAGTAGAAGATCTTTGGGTAAAGTGAGACGAAATATATTTGGTCGTACAGAACTAACCGAAGGTCCGATCAGGACGTGCAGCATACCCAGACGACCGACTCGACGAGTGCTTTCCAACGACACCGAGATCGCAACCGTCCGATGCCGAACGTGCCCTCATACGCCGCCGGAAGCTCCCAGGACTGCAACTTGTCTTCATCCATTTTGCACTCGTTTGATCCGATTTTCGATCCAATCTTGTTCGTGTAATCCTAGGATGCGATTTGCAGTTAACAATTCATTGGTGTGCTGTGTACGGCAATCCAGAAAATCATCCAGATCGCCATACATTTTAAGCCGTAAGTTCTCTACGCAAACCTTTAGATCCGCTGCGCATAGGTTTATGTTTTGCTATTGAATTCGTGATTTTGCATAACGAGATCTTCATTGATCCCAACACTTTAGTGGTCAATTCTACTAATGAGGGGTTGCTGAAGGGGATGAAAATTTCAAGAAATGGGCCTGTGCTTTCTCATCTTTTGTTTGCAGACGATTCTTTGTTTTTCTGTAAGGCAGGCACTGATCAGGCAGCCATTATCATGTCATTGCTCCAACAATACAAGCTTTTCACTGGGCAAGCTGTTAATTTGCAAAAATATCCATTTTTTCAGTAAAAACACCCCAAGGTATATTCATTACTCTATTGGCTCACTTTTAAATGGAATCTCTATTCATAGTTCAACCAGGTACCTTGGACTTCCCCTGGGGATCGGCAGAGCAAAAAAAAAAGTCTTTGATTACATTCTCTGTTCTGTAAAGAACAAATTGACGAATTGGAAGTCTAAATTTCTGAGTCCTGCAGGGAAAGAGGTCTTATTAAAGGTAGTGATCCAAGCTTTGCCTATTTTCACTATGTCCTGTTTCAAGTTACCTCTTACTCTTTGCTCAGAAATCACAAAGCTTTGTGCTCAGTTTTGGTGAAGAACAAACACTGATACAGAGAGGAATTCATTGGAAGAAGTGGAGCTGTTTGGCCCTTCCTAATCTTCTGGGAGGTATGGGATTTCATGACTTGCAATTATTTAATAAAGCTCTCATTTGCAAGCAATTGTAGAGGGTAGCTTCAAATCCAAACCTTTTGGTGAGTAGATTGCTTAAGGACAGGTATTTCCCACACTCCTCTATTGTTCATGCTAAAAAAATCCAGGGAGGTTCATGGATGTGGAACAGTTGGATGGATGTTCTTCCCATATTTTCCAAGTGGATGAGGATTGAGGTGAGGAATGGTTTAAGTACCAGAATAGAAGATTTTAATTGGGTGCCAAATCTGAGTAAGCCTTCTCCTGATTTAATGCCTATTGCTAGAGGACATCTGATTTGGGTGAAGGATCTGTTGCAGTCTAATGAACACCAGTGGAATGAGTGGCTCGTCTCCCAGGTTTTCAATGAAGCTGACAGTAAAGCAATTCTGAATATATCCTCCCTTCATGCTGACAGGTGTGATAGAATGTATTGGGGGCTGGAACAGAAGGGTCATTTCTCAGTATCAAGTACATACAAGCATCTAGCCACTCAGAAGTTTTTGCAGGCTGACATTCCAGAGAGCAGTCTTGCTTCCAATATTAAAAAAGGCATCAAGTTCAGATACTGGAAGCTCAAGGCTGCAGGTAAACTCAAGTTGTTTCTGTGGAAATACCTAAATAATACCCTTCTAGTTGCAGTTCAACTTAAAAAAAAGGAGTCGAGTTGGATATAACATGTGTTGTATGTGGGGAAGATCAAGAAACTATTGAACACCTGCTTTTCAACTGCTCTAAAGCCAGAAAATGTTGGAAACTCCGCCCTATGCAATGGGATGGGTTGAACAAGAAGGCAGATTCCTTTTCAGCTTGGTGGTTTCAAGTGTGTTCTTTGGACAATTCTGAAGTAGCTGAAGCTCGAATTCAGCTCTCCACTTATCTGCTTTGGGGGCTTTGGAAATCCAGGAACCTCTGGATTTTTCAAAAGTCCCTTATTCAAGAACATCTGCTTGTTCAGATGGCTCA